TACGAATATGATCGCTACGCCATACTGATCTGTGTAAATTACAATATTCGACACATAGGCCATTCTTTTTTAGATGTTTAAAATGTGGACGAGAATGGCAAACCTAAAAAAAAGATCAACGGACGAATAGATTACAGAACCTAAAATTGGTTAATCGAAATCTTTTAAAAGTTACAGAAAGAACGTTACGACCCTTATTAATTAAAAATCATTTCTGTTAATGTATATCTTGTATGTACTAGAAAAAGACTGAACAGCTTACACAAAAATTACCATGACTGTGTTATTAGTCAAATTTTCATTAGCAAATATCGTGTTATACACCCAATTAAATGCAAGATTTGCGGACATATATCATTAATTCGCCATATAACCATACACTTCATGATGGGTCCGTATTGTTTCACCGGCAATCACTTCATAGACAATTCACCGACAATTATTCATCGACAAGTTCATTTTACCGACAGTCTATTTCACCGAAGTTCATTTCACCGACAAGTTTTTTTTTATAATTTACACTAACTTTAACTCTAATTCTAACCTAGATCTAATGATATTGACCAGAATTACTTTGTCTGTAAAATGAGCTTCGGTGAAATAAACTGTCGGTGAAATGAACTTGTCGGTAAGTAATTGTCAGTGAAATATGGTGTCTACGAAGTGATTGTCGGTGAGTTGATGGGATCCCCTTCGGGATATTTACATATCACTCCGCTCCTGGTATATACTTCGTGATATTGCATGTCACTCCGTTCCTGGTATATATAAATTATGGTAGTAACCAACTCACTCTCATAAATCGTACACACCTCATCAATAGCAATAAACTTCGTAAATAAATAAAACAAGAACACCATTTACTTTATCACCAAAAAACATATAGTAGAATAAAAATGTCCAAATTCCAAACCAAAAAGGTTTTCTTGTTTATGCTTTTTGGGATGCTCTTTCTCGTTCTCGCCAGTGCAGTCAACATCAATCCTAAGAAAAGAGGCTTAGAACAAGGAGCACCTTGTAATAATGATGACCAATGTGATACTCAAATCTGTCGTCATGCGGATCAAGATCCATACAAATGTCAAAAAACTGATACACGAGATGATGGGGATAATTGTCTTGTAGATGCTGCATGTAAAAGTAACAATTGTTCTAAAGTTGATAGAACTTGCACCACAACTTGCACCACAACTATTCTTTCTGCTACTCTTACTGCTGCTCCTAAGGGATTCAAACAATAACAATATCCAATATTATTTATTCCAGCAGCATTTTCTCTTTCTACGCTCTTAGATAATACATAAATGCTTATTGCATCCTTTTTTAACATCAAAAAGTCTAAAAAATGGTAAAAAGGTCGGAAATCATCGATTTCTTTTTTTTTTTTTTTTGATTATCAAGTTTCACTTTTTATTGCAAACCACAATAAAACAAATAGATTTTTGTGCAAGCAACCTTCTAAAGCATATTCCATGACAAGATTATAATTTTTAGAAATTTTATCTTTTGATATACCGAAACATCTTAAAAAAGTTGGATCTTTAGGACCGATATCACAAAATGCTTTTAACTAATCAATAATAATAATTATTATATATTTTACTTATTAACATAAATGATAAATTACGAATAATATACAACATTTGATAAAGTATTTAATAAAGATTACCTCTCTTATAAATTCTTTACGATAATTATTTGATTCATGAAGTAATTTAAGTGCAACAGGTCCGT